TTTAGTATGGCATTGTCATAAATAGGAAAAAATGAAAAATTATATTCAAAAAAATTCTATTTAAAAAAATTTAGTAATTAAGATCAACTACAAGATCTAAAATAAATTATTTTTTATAAATATGGTTTTATTTTAAGAATGGCATCATTATCTAAAAGAGGTTTTAAGTCTAGTCGACATGTACATAAATCACAAGAATTTTGAGTATTTAATAATAAAATTTATTTTTAGTTATTGCCAAAATTATTGGACTATGTCTCTAGTAAGATTTGAATTCAAGATAACTTCTTAACTAAGGAATTAAAAAAAATTATTAGTTTTTCTTTTTAGACAATCATATCTTATACCAAAAGAAAGAAATGCAATTTTTAATCAACAACAAATTATTCTTTTAAAGCCAAAGCAATTTCATCTTTAGATAATGAAATCAATATTGACTATTGATTTAAATTTTATTAAGTAATTTTATTTAAGTACGTCCTTAAATCTTCTTGTTCATGATATTAAAAAATAATATATCTAAATTTCATAAAACTTCAAAGTTTGAGTTCAAGAATAATCTTGCATTCCTCTCAATTGATAAGTGTAATTAATTTCATCTTTCTTGTGCTTATTTCTAACTAAGTTATTGAGAAGTATACAAATTTTGAGTTGATATTAATAATTTAATCATTAGTTGTTAAAATTTCAATGTTTTATAGGATGTGTTAAGAATTTATTTAATATTTAGAATTTGATTAGGATTTACTTAGGATTTGGTTTAAATTTTTTCTAGGATTTAAGATTTATTAGGATTTTATTAGGATTTAATCTAATATTTGGTTAAGATTCAATTAGAATTTGATTAGAATTTGCTTAGGATTTGGTTTAAATTTTTTTTAGGATTTAAGATTTATTAGGATTTCATTAGGATTTAATCTAAGATTTGGTTAAGATTTAATTAGAATTTGAGTTAGAATTTCATCTAAGATTTGATTAAAATTCATTAGGATTTTAATTAGGATTAAATTAAAATTTTATTAGGATTAATTTAGATTTTTTATTTTTATTATTTTTAAAGTATTCTTTATTATTTTTTTAAAAGTTTTTATTTCTATTATTTCCAATAAAGTTTTACTTTTATATTTTTTTAAGATTTTTTTGTGTTTTTTTTATAACTTTTTTAAAATTTATGTTAGATTTTTCAAATTTTTATTAGGATTATTAAAGTTTATATAAAGTTTATTTGAGATTCTATTAGTCTTAGTAGGAATGTTGCTGCATTTCTACTTATCTTCCACAACTAGATGCCTAATGCATTTCCAAGTAAAAACACGTGTAATATGATAATGTATATGGAAGCCATTCAATAATCTTAAATAAAATTCTTATATATATATATATATATATATTGATTTTTTTCATCAATGACACCTATCAAAATCAAAATAAAAGTTAGACAATCATTGCTATAAAAAAAACAAGGTTTAGTAGAGAATTTATTCTATCTTTAATCTTTATTTGTGATTTTTGTGTATTTGTGGCACTAAGAGATAGAGAATCAACAACCAAAAGATTCAATTCATAAGCTATTATTTGTTGAGTTATCAAACAATATATTGTGATTTTTAGAACCTTTAAGACAATATAATAGAGATGAAGACCTTAAAAAAAGAACATATTCTTCTTGGAATAGATGATGAGATTCAATGTATTTGATATCACAACCTCCAAAGAGACTTTTAATATTTGGTAATATTATTAGAAGTAGAAACCACTTGTGATGGTATTTCAAATATTTTATTTGAAAGAAGTTACCAAGGTCTCAACAATTATCAAAATATCAAAGTGGCCTTCACATCCTAGTGTAAGATACTATCAATAGTTGAAAGGATCTATCAACTACCTACAAATATATATATATATATATATATATATATATTACAAATATAATTTTTCATATCTTGGACTTCTTCAATATATGAATGTGGCACACATCGAAGAAAATTGCCTTATAAGTCAAACACGTGTTAAAGGTTCTAAAGAATATTGCCAAATAACTTCTAATTAGATAGTATATATAGAAGTAAGAGTAAAACCTTCTTTACTGTTATTAATATCTTTTTTATTCTTATGTTAGTTTCAAGAATTTCTAGTCTTATTATCTTTGATAATAGCTATTCTAATTCTAATACTATACTACTTTTGAATTAATATCTATTCTTCTTAAGTGATACAAGAGTATATAAAGGTTTTTATTGTTTGTGATTCATGTCCTTGAAATTATGATTGATTTTTTTTAATTGAATTTTTCAAAGATAATCTGGAATGTTTGTAATTTATTAAAATAAAATAAAAATGAAATTCTAAATATCTTCATATTTTTTGAAAATCTAAAAAGACAAAAGAATTTTGTTCATTAAAGATATCTTATTTAATATGAAACAATATTCTATTAAAGCCAATGCACTTGAATTTTAATTAATGTATTAAGAAAATGTGTATGTTAATATAAAAATAAACAATTATAATCCAAAATAATAAAAAAATATTTTAAAATCTCTTTAAAAATCATTAAAATAGTCACTTTAATTTTTTAAAATTATTAAAAAGACAAATGACTTATAAAACTAGTGCATACAAATATGCAACAACCACATATTATTATTATTATTATTATTATTTTTAATACAATGGCTTTAAAAATACATAATTTGATTAGAGAGTCCATTGTTGCCTACCTAAAGTAACCATATCCACATTCAACAATATTACTTGTCCAAAGAATCTATACCCACCTATAGATGATACTTGCTAAAGTATCTTGACAATACAACGTGAAAAGAGTAGTAAGCAAGGAGATAAGGTACCATTACAAGGCCGTCAAAATTAACAAGGACACAGTAAGGTAGATGGTTATTTAATGGTTGGAAAAAAGCACTTAGCAGATAGTTAAAAAGTAACACAATACTTGATAGATTCCATGCAGTAGCACCACAAGTTAGCTAATATTGGAGTGGAGGCCATGTAATTTTGACCAAGCAATAAACTATTTTTTTATTTTATTTTTTATTTATTTTTTATCATTATGTGTATTGGGTCTGATCTTCCAAGGCCTTATTCCATGCCAATAAATCTAAGAGCCCAAGTAACATCCATGTTATACATAAAGTTATAAAATTGGATTATTGTATTATAGAACTGTAAGATAAATAAGTATGAAAATGACTTCAATTATTTATAAAGTTATTTTAGGTAAGCTTTAAAAAAAATATTTTAGTGAATCTAAAGCAAATTCATAAATATGATTTTTTTTAATTATTATTATTATTTAAATTAAAAATCATGTATTAAGTTTAGTTATTAGATGATAGACCATGTATAGGGGTACATCCAATTTAGTCACTTTGTCAACAAATGTAAAACACCATGACTAATAGAAAAGGATGATATTTTAATTTTTTTCTAAGTATACTTTTTGACATAGCTTTATCAATACTTGAATTGTATTTTTATTTTTTTATTTTTGTACTTATTTTCTGGTACTTCTCCTTAAATTTCATGATTATAAGAATAGAAATAAAATTTACTATAAATGTTTTGAATACTAAAAATATTAAATGTAACCCAAACAAGATCATTAAAAAAATTGAATAGTAAAAATTCCATTTATTGGAAAAAACTCATTTACCAATTTTTCAGAATGTACATTCATTTACCTGAATATAGATATTACTACTCCAAACTTTGAGGATACTATTTCTCTGGTTGTTTTAACTTAATAAAGCAAATTCAAAGTGAATTAGGTTTTATAATTCTCAAAGTACACAATCTTCAAATACTCTTTACATGTCCTTAAGTTTTGTGCCATAGTAGAAAGTTCAACAAATTCTCTTTTTGAGAACATCATTACTTTTTAAATTCCAATGAATTTCATATTTCAGTAATAGATCGATATTGTATTTGAAATTTAAAAAATCCTTATGGGAACTATATGTTTTTACCCTCACTTTCTTTACAATTTATATTGTAGTTCTTTTCCTATAAAGACCACGACTTTTTAATTTCTTCAAATTTTCCTGAGACCTTAATTTGAAATTTTTATAATTTATCTGTGAGTAATTTCTACAACATTTTTCAAACATAGGCATTATCTATTATGTCTAATCATGGATAAATATACCATCCAAACACTTAAGAATGTAATCAATAAATATAAAATCTAGAACATGGTTCTCTGATATTATGACGATTTTTACTGTGTGTGTGTGTGGTTTCTTCCCCAATGCGAGTATTAATGAATTATAAGACAACCATTCTTGATGTGTACTGAAAGCAATTTCAGAGCTTTCTCTGTAAAATAAACTGCATGTGGTTGAGGATCACATGGGATAGCAAATACATAAAAAATAGGAAATTAGCAGGGAGACATGAACAAGGGAACACAGTTTGATAGATGGATAGATAGATAGATGTTACACAAACTGGAATGCGATGATTTTTCGGAGCCAAGGAAAAGAAGCAGGAATAGGATTAGGAGGAGGAGGAGGAGTTGGTTCAGGCCTGGGAGCCCAGCAAGAAGAGCAAGGTGATGGATGGATGGATTATTGGATGATAATTCAGTGGGATGGATAGACGCCAGAGAACGGGGAATGAGCGGACGGGAACGGGATGAGGAGAGGGGCGGGGGACCAGGGGGGGGGATTAGGGCTGGACTACCCCCTAACCCCCTGCAGCAGCAGCAGCCGAGGAGGGAGGAATGGAGGGAGGGGGGGGAAGAGGGGGGAACTGGGGGGAAATGGGGGATGGGGAATGGTAATTAGGGCAGGGCAGGGGAGGGGGGACGGGATGCTTCTCCTCCTCCTCCTGTCCAAGGAAGGAAGGCCCTAATTCCCTTCCCCGTCTCCCTGTCTCTCTGATCCCTCCCTCTCATATCCTCTTTCTCTTTCTCTCCTCTCTCTCCTGCCCCCTCGTGGTGGCGGTGGTGGTGATTGTGCCTTCTTTCCTTCCTTTCTCTCTCGTGCCAGGGGGAGTCCTTTCTTCTCCTCCTCTTCACTCCTCTCTTTCTCTCTCTCTCTCTCTCACTCTCCTGCTCTGTCTCCCTCCCTCCCTTCATTGCTCCTTGCCATGGCTTATGATGGCAATCGTGACTTTGGCGGTGGTTACGATGACTCTTACGATGATCGCCCCGAGTTTCGTGACGGCTTCCGTGACCTGCAGCCGCTTGAACCCGGTTTCGACACCACCAACTATGTTCCCGATGTCGTTCGAACCTTTGTAGTCTATCTCTACCGCCATATCCGCGAAAAAAATGTGTATGAGATTCACCAGATGTACGAGGGCAGCTTTCAGAAACTGAGTGACCGCTTATTCAAGCAGAGCAAATGGCCCGCGGTAGAGATGATTGCTCCCTACGTCGAAAACGATCACGTTTTCTGCCTCCTCTACAAAGAAATGTGGTTTCGTCATGTCTACGCGCGTCTTCAGCCCACTCTCGAGCAGCGCTGCGACTCGTGGGACAACTATTGCAACCTGTTTCAGGTTATCTTACATGGCAATGTCAATATGCAGCTTCCTAATCAATGGTTATGGGACATGGTAGACGAGTTCATCTACCAGTTTCAGTCCTTCTGTCAATACCGGGCTAAACTGAAGCAGAAGACCGACCAAGAGCTGGCGGTGCTGAGGGAAATTGATGAGGTGCACTTCTCTTTTCCTTCCTCTACACCTTATGCTTCATGGCACTCATAATAATTTAATATCAGTTACATTTTTTTCCTTCACCTGAGCTGAAAGTCATTGTGTGGTTCTTACTGGGTATAGAAGTTAAACTTTGCTTATTACCACTCCTAGACTAGCTTTTAATGCGGCCAGCGGATGTTAAGTGTGTATTAGAGCCGAATCTTCGATAAGTTTAGGGTTTCACCAGCCTGCTCGCAGGCATTGATTTCCTAGTCCAAATGTAGAGTTTAGTGATAAGCACGGAGAACGCGGCAGGGGTTCAGTTGAGTTAAACTGTGGAATTCTGGTCACGAGTTATTGTGTTAGCTCAAGAAACACCCTACAACTCACACTTTTCTTTCTTCATGCTCATTTTGCACTCAAGAGTAGAGTCTGGAGAGCTATCCTTGGCTTTCCTATTAGGGCCGTTTTAAACTTCATTTTGGGATCTCTTAGACACATCCCTCTGCCTATTCCTCTACACCATTCAATCAAAGTGTCCGTGTTGTTAGTGTGTCAACACATGTTAATGAGTGTAGTAATTATTCCTTAAAGGACAGTATTTAGGACCCTTTTTTCTCTTTAAAATCACGCATGTTTTTATTTGGAAAGAAGATATATTTTTTTGATTTTTATTAATCGGCATTACAGCACCAGATTTGGCTTCTTCCTTACACATGATGAATAGCAAGAAGTTTCACAGTCCAAAAAAATAAAAATACAAAGGAATCGTGTCAGCCTGTTGAATCTATCACGTTGTTACCTCTATAGCATGTTCTTCGAGCAAATCATTGAGTCGGATGTTACTGGAGGGTTGAGCAGGTGTGGAACGTCGTCGGAGTGTTGAACTACCTTCAAGCATTGATTGAAAAGTCGATGATACTGCAAATTCTTGAGGAAGAGAAAGACGGAAACGTCACCTTCACAGCTACCGATGGTTACGATTATCATGGAGGAACGAACGTGCTGAAAGTCCTCGGGTACTTCAGCATTGTTGGTCTGCTGCGGGTTCATTGCTTGTTAGGTGACTATCACAGTGGTCTTCGCGCGCTCTCACCTATTGATATTAATCAGCCTGGTGTGTTTAATACTGTCATCGGGTGTCAAATTACAACGATCTACTATTACGGTTTTGCCAATCTTATGTTGCGAAGGTATTGTTTCTCATATTCGTTCTGATGAAATACTATGATTCACTATTCTTGCCGATGTCACATTTATATCAATAATACTTTGTGAAACTACTCTGCTCACATACTTTTCATTTGATATCAGATATGTGGATTCTATAAAATCTTTCAATCAAATTTTACTGTACATTTTCAAGACCAAGCAATATCACCAGCGCTCATCCCAGTATGACCAGATTTTAAAGAAGAATGAGCAGATGTATGCCCTTCTCGCCATTTGCCTGTCGCTTTGTCCTCATCCGAAATTGGTTGAGGAGAATGTCAACAATCAGTTGCGAGAGAAGTATGCTGAAAAGATGTTGCGAATGCAACGCAGTGATGAAGCCATGTTTGATGAATTGTTTTCTTACGCCTGTCCCAAGTTCATCACTCCATCTCCACCGAATTATGATGAACCTCTCATCAACTTTAATCAGGTTTGGATCAGTAATGAAGCATGTTGATGAATGGTTAACCTAAGATGAAAATTTGAAGTTGGATATTGGAGATACTGTGGCTCACCTTCTCTTTAGATTTTGCTCGCCTGTCCTGTTTACTGAATTTGTGATTTCATTCAATATGCAGGATGCGTACAGATTACAGCTGAAGCTCTTTTTGTCAGAAGTGCGACAGCAGCAGCTTCTTTCTAGCATCCGGAGTTTCCTGAAACTCTACACTACCATCTCCATTGCCAAGCTTGCATCTTTCATGGATGTTGACGAGCCCACTCTTAGGTTCATTCTCCCCTTTCCTCTTCATACGAGCACGCTTTTTGGTTGGGTGTGTTCTTGAGATAGGCATATATTGAATGACGTGGAAAACATCGTTACCTCACTATGTATTAATTAAGTTGTATGTTACTATTAGGGTGGCGTTGCTCACGTACAAGCACAAAACACATGTGATTAACTATGACGGCACTGTCCTCTCTAACGCGGATGTGGACTTTTACGTTGATGATGTGAGTTATTCTCTTATCCAACGTACGATAAAGTATGATACACTTGTTTCTCCCAGTTTTATGAAAACCTTGTTCGCAATCTTCTGAGTTTTATTGTCTCTGGCATCTAATATATGGCATTCCTATACAGGACATGATCCATATTGCTGACACTAAGGTCACGAAACGCTTTGGTGATTACTTTATTCGTCATATTCAGAAGGTACGTTGACAGTAATACTAATATTTTAGTGGCATTTTTGTTTTGGACCTAAGGTTTACTGCGGAAGATCGAATCTATGTGTAGGTTTATGTAGGTAAAGTAATCTTCTCTGTACGTATTACCCTTCGCGATCTTGACGGGTGTTGTGCATTTGCTTTATGTGATTGGTTGCAGTTCGATGAAATTGTAAATGAGTTGGATCGCACTCAGCTGGAATGAGGAAATTTCCTTTTTAGTCGCAGTCACAGGGAATTTCGCTGATAAGATGTGGCTTCTCTGAAGTGTTTTAACATATCTTTCGGTTACTGGGATAGCACAATGACACCATCGTCATTTTTTTGTAGCAACCGTTTTTAATCTATAAGATTTTGTCTTCACAATTGTCCTAATCATCTGAAACTTCCTAGGTTTGCTTGTCAACTGCCGTCAACTCTAAATCTTAACCTGATTCGATTCTAAATATCTTAACCTTATCAGAGTCGGCTCTAGTTTTCTGTTTAAAGTCTCTTCCGAACTTGTTCTTGGAGAGCTAACCAATAGCTAACCAATAGAAACTTGTTCTTGCTGCTAACCGCGTTCAATACTAGTTTTAACCCATTATATTATTGAGTCACATAATTATAAGAGTCTAGTTCGCCATCTACACTGTATATATATATATTTTTTTTTTATCTTTTTGTTCTTTGTTCAAGTCACCCCAACATCGCAGTTCCAATCTGCTAGTTTAATAACAAATTGTGTAGGCTGATTTTTATACTAATATTTTCTCTTTGGTACGTTACTTAATTAGTCATAAAGTACTATGTAATAAATATGAAATGACTTACATGTTTAGAGAGACCGTAAAATTATGCGTTAATATATTTTTATTTAATATTTATAGTTGTTCTATAACTTGTTTTACAATGGTGCCATTTCATCTCAAAATCTTCTAATTGATTCTGCCAGCTCATTGTGCATACTTCAGAATAATGAAAGGTTAGATTTCAATCAAAGCAATTCCATGAACTCAGTAATTTAAATCGATGAAATTGTAAATACTTTGAGAAACCACTACCTGGTTAAGATTGATGCAGTGATTCAAATTAATTTATATTACAATCCATCTTTATTGGTGGATTTATGGGGACTAATCTCAAGGTGTATTGTGTTGCCATTAGACAATTCTATTGGACCTAGAACATAGTATTCTATTGTTTTCTTGAATGGTGTCAAAATTATCGAGTCTAGAATTATCAATGTGATCTTTTTCCAACAATTATTGAAGCAATTGGTAAAACAATTTGTGCCAATCAATTCAAGCATAGTCCTAAAAACTTTGCCAAATCAATGTAGCGACTTTTTTCAAGTGGCTCTCTATTTCTATTGAATACCATTGCATTATACTTTAGCCATAATTTCCATTACATGATTCTTTTTAAGAGATTTTAGATGAATTGTACTTTGCAGAATTGTTTAGATAGGTTTTCAATAAATATGTAAATGTGCCAATTTAGTTTAAAGCATGCTCATGGGTTGTTATGGTTGCTTTGTAAATCATGCATAATAGATGAATATAATTCCTTCCTTTTTTAAGTTTTGGAATAATGTTAGAATTGATGAATTATTGACTTGTTGATGCTAGGACAGAATAGGTACAAAGGATCTATTTTGGAACTGATCTTCTTCTACCACTTGTTAACTGCATAAGCTTTGTAATAAATACTCTAAATTAATGAAGCTTCTTTTTTAGCTCACTTCTTATGCCAAATATTTGTCCAATTAAAAAGAATGTCAAAAGGGACTTAGTTTCTTTACTTGGTGTTGTATAGATCCACTGAAATCTCTACATTGGTGAGACAATTACAAACATTCTTGGTGATGTATGTCAAAATAGAGATGTTTCTAAGCCAACCAAAACAATGTGAGTCAAAATATAAGCCTCTAATGGATTTGTAGGAAAAGCATATTAGATATTAGTAGAATCCTTTTACCATACTGATAACCTTCATCTTGCATGGAATGCAATAAATATGCTCACTACTCATGATGCCAAGGCTTTAGGCAGTCTAAAGCATAGATGATGATGTGAGCCATGTTAGAACATCTGGTACAATGGCTAAGGTTTGAATGGTCGGCATCATGATAAATGATTTCTTATGGAATTTATCAATTAAGAGATTGACAAACTATTCATATGAGTGTTGGAACTTGCTACTATTTCATTATATGAATAATAAAGTGATATCAAGCTCTTGAAGAAAGAGTTTGATCTAATTGTTTGAGCCGGCAATAGTATTGTATATGTGGAGCATTGGTCTATAGGTATTTTGAATGGCCATATAGATTACATGCCACCTAATTTCTTTGTTATTTGAAAGTTGGAATGTGAGTTTGATTACAAACTAAAGTTATTATCAATATTCAATAAGAAGATTATGAAAATATTTTAAAAATATTCTATCAAGTTCTAATAGGTTTCAAAAGTTTTTTAGAATATTTTAAAAAAGCTTCTAGAAAGATTTTTAGAAAGTTCTAAAAATATTCCAACAGATTTTAGAAAGTTCTAGGAGAATTAAAGAAGTGGGCAAGAAGCTTTCTAAGACTCCTTTGTCTTCAAGAAATATGAGAACTTTTCAAAAAACTTCCTAATATCTAGAATATATTGGAATTGAAGTTAAGGGGATCCTCAATCTCAACAATACATCTCTAAGAGCTCTTACTCATTTCTTTTGGTATTAATCTTGTACTCATTTGATTTAATTAAGTTCTTGCTAGCTTTTTTGTTGATATTTCTTTGTTCAACTTCTTATTTGATCTTTTGTATAGTGTATCCATAATAGTTTGTCAAGTGTAACTCTCTTATTAATACTAGAGCTTAATCCTTCTTCATAGAGAGTAGATTATCTCTCTTCCTAAAGACATTTGAGCTCTTTATAGGTTGCGGAGTAGCTTCTTTTAAATTGATATTGTGTAGAAATTTCTATTTTTTTCTTTGAAGATGGCTAGAGATAAAGATGTTAATATGGTTGAGTCTCTTAAATCCAAATTAGATATTATTATAAACATACTAAATGATTTATCTTGTAGAATTATTGAAATTGAAGGATTTTTTTGTAAGATTTTATAGAGATGTAAGACTTGGAGTAGTTTAGTATATGGTGCAATTACTTTATCAAGCTTTTATAGCCAAAGAGGTATTCGTACATGTACATCAATAAGAAAACTCACTTATTCAATAATATAAGAAGCTTCGGATTAATCTTCTAGAAATATTTAATGATACACTTCAAATATCAAGGATTTATTAACCAAATTTCATTGATAACTTTTCTACAACTTGAATGTTATTCAACAAAGGAATTGCAAATTGATTTAATTGGAACCTTGTTTATAGGACAAGCCTTATCTTTCCTTTTTTCTTTTTTTAAGAAGAAATTTCTAATCTTGAGCAACTTCGAAGCTTTTTTAGAAGCATTTGTAAAGGTATTTGGAGAACATGACAAGGTCTAATAAGAAACAACAAAAATTCGCTCATTAAGTCAAGGATCACACTCTACATCAATTTATATATTTGATTTTAGGCAATAGGCTTTTAACATCAATTAGGATGAACAAGCTCTTATAAGCCAATTCTATTGGAAACTAAGGCATGATATAAAAGACCTATTATTATCATTACTTGATCATCAAACATTCAATAAAGCTATGAATCAAGTTGTAAAGTGTAATAATCAATTATTTTAATGTCATCAAGATCAACATTTGTGGACTTTGAGAAAGCAAAAAACTAAAAATTTGTATTCTATTGCTTCAACAAATACATTACTTCTACACTTTGGAGCTTAAGATATACAAATTCATGTAGTATGGTTCAAACTTCTCATAACAAAAGAGAAGAAGGATCAATTTGAATAAGGTTTATACTTGTATTGTGGCAAAGAAGGCCACAAATTTGAAAATTGTCCAAAGCAACAACCTACAATTAGGACTAGGAATAAGATTATTTAGGAAAATAAAAATATCCATTCTAATACCTCAAATTCGTCAAGGTCCTTCTTTCTTTGCCCAACTTGCTTATTTTTTTATTATACCTTTATTTCTTGGCCTGCAAAAACTTCAAACAAATGTCTAATTAGATTCAAGAGTATCTGCTTGCTTTTTAGATGAAGAATTTTTCAAGCTTCATAAAATTATTTCAATAAAAAAGTCAAAACTTGTACATATAGAAGTAATATAAAGAGTTTTAAGATGTCTTCAAAAAGAAGAATCTTGACATATTGCTAGAACATCAACCGTATGATTGTACCATCAATCTTCAAGAAGGGACTCAACTACCATTTGATCAAATCTACAACCTATCACAAAATGAGTTTTTGGCATTGAAAGATTATATCAATGAAAATCTTGTAACGTCTTTTATTTGGCATTCCATATTTCTAGCAGTTGTATCAATACTTTTTATAAAAAAGAAAGATAGAACTTTCTAAATATATATTAATAATTGTGATCTTAATAAAATAATTGTGATGAATTGTTACCTATTACTATTGATATTAGAGCTTTTGGAGAAATTTGATCAAGCCAAGATCTATGCCAAAATAAATCTCTATAGAATATATAATTTGGTACAGATTAAAGAAGGAAATAAATAGAAGACAATATTTTAGACAAGGTATGAGTATTTTGAATATAATGTCATGCCTTTTGGATTGACAAATACTCTAGCTATATTCTAGCATTTGATGAATGATATTTTAGTAAAATTCTTAGACAAGTTTGTTATCTATTATCTTGATGATATGATAATCTATTCTAAGATTCCTAAAGAATATAAAAAATATATGAGATTAATTTTATAAAAGTTATAAGATGTAAGATTATATGCCAAATTAAAAAAAAAATATATATTCTATCAAATAAAAGTGAAGTTTCTTAAATATATAATATTCAATGAAGATCTATTGATAGATCCAAAGAAACTTCAAACTATAATATAATAAGAAATTCTAAAGATAATATAGGATGTATAATATTTCTTTAGATTTACTAATTTCTATTGGATATTTATTAAGAATTACTCCTAAGTTGCTACTCCTCTCATTTTGTTGATATTTAAAGACAAATTGGAATAGAGATCTCAAGCATAAAAGGCTTTTTAAGATTTGAAGGCAAGTTTTGCTATGGCTCCTATCTTAATGCATCCAAACTTTTACAAAGACCTTTTATTTGGAGATTGATCTTTTTGACTTTGCATTAAGAGCTATTATATTACAAATGAGAAAAGATAGAAAGCTCCACCATATTGCATTCTATTCTAAAATATTTTCATCTACAAAGATCAATTATAAGATTTATAATGAAGAGCTTGCTGCAATTATAGATTCTTTGTAAAAATGACATCACTTGTTGGATGGCACTACATATTCTATGAGTGTATATATAAACTGTAAAACTTAGAATATTTCATATTAATTTGGATTCTGAATTGCCTCAAGCTCATTTGAATATGTCATTATTTTATTTTGATTTTATGATTATATATTGACTAAAGAAGTAAAAAAGACTATCAAATGCTTTATCAAGGAGATCATATCTTACTCCAAAGGCTAAAAGAGCAGCATTTAATCAATAATATTCTACTTTCTTAAAGCGAAAATAATTTTGTCTTTATGCGACTTCTATGATTATACTTATTGATATAAGTATTTTTTGAACAAATTTGTACAATGTCAGCTAAGAATTCATTATTTCATAATATCAAGCAATGTCATAATAACAATAAGTTTAAATTTGTAGAAGATCTTTTGTATTTTGAAGATTGTTTATATATTCTAGAAGGATTAATATGACTTTGTATTCTTCAATCTTACCATGATTTCTCAATTGAAAGATATTTTGGATTTAATAAAATATTAAAACTTAACTCTAGAGATTTTTGATGAACTTAAATATAAAAGACTGTAAAAAACTTTATCCTCCCATTTGATATTTGTTCAAGATCCAAGAATTTTAGACATCGAGCTTATGAACTTCTATAGCCATTTTCAATTCTGAAGCAACTATGATCTTCAATATCAATAAATTCTATCACTGATCAACCACCATCAACTATATTTTATGTCATCCATATTATTGTGGATTGACTTACAAAGATAGTACATTTTGTTTCATGCAAAAAATTAATTTTTAGAAAAGAAATGGCAAGGCTCTTTCTTGACAATATATATTGATATCATGGCCTACTTGATGATATCATTTTTAATCAAGGACTTCAATTTTTATCAAAATTTTGGAACTCATTTTGAAATATTGAAGGTAAATATCAAAATTTCATCTATCTTCTATCTTCTATTTTTAAATTGACAGTCAAATACAATAAGTCAATCAAGTTTTGGAATAATATTTGTAATGTACCATCAACTATTAATAAGATGATTAAATCTCATATTTATCTTTAAGAAATTTTGCTTATAATAATACTCTTCATATTTTAATTTAGCAAACACCATTTTACTCCAATTATGATTACTATACAAAGTTTGATTTATTAGGTACACCAAAGGATGAAAACTTAACAATTAGAGATCTTACAAAATAATTGTCATAATTCGAGATAATTTTGAAGCTCCATTTACAAGCAACTTAAGATTCTTACAAATCATCTTTAAAAAAATTTAAAAAATAATCTCTTATTTTTTAAGTTATAGATAAAGTATGGCTTCTTTCATGAAATATTAAGACCAATTGGCCTTACAAAAAGTTATACTATTAAAGATTGAGACCATTTTGTATTCAAAAGCAAATCAATCTAATGACATATTGGTTAGAATTACCTATATCCATGAAAGTATATATAGTCTTTTATGTTTTTTTTTTAGAAGCTTATTCAAAATCAAATATTCTAGGAAGAATGCAACCATCACTACCTTGTATTGAAATAGGTAATCATGTAGAATATGAGATAAAAAATGTCCTTGATTCTTGGTGAAGAATAAATAAGTTAGAGTATTTTATTCATTGGCACTAATATGATATTAATGAATATATGTAGGAATCAATAATAAATCTAATTAATATGCCATAAAAGGTACAAGAGTTTCATTGATGTTGTCCTCAAAAACCTAAATCTATTTTATGATGACTTTTCTATGAAGCTACTACTAAGATATTGTATATAATAAAGAATATAAATATTATTCATAGTGATCTTAAAGTTTGGAGTATCTAATTTATGATCTAATATATCAAATTGGAGAATATTTAGGGAGTCTTTAGATCATGAATTTTAAAGTAAAGCAAGAATTAGAGCTTTTCATATCATAACTACTAGGTCAATCATTCTAGTTCTTGCAACTTATGTAAGTTCATCCTTAAGATGAAGCTATTTATGAAGCTTTAAAAGATTCAAAAATATTTTAAAAATATTTTAAAAATATTTTAATAGAATAATCTAAAAATATTCTTAGAAAATTCTAAATGATTTAAAAAATATTCCTACAGATTTTAAAAAGTTCTAAGAGGATTAAGAAAGTCTAAGAAGCTTCATAGGATTGTTTTATCTTTAAGCAATATGGAAACTTCTCAAAAAGCTTTCTAATACCTAGTATATATTGGAATTGAGGTTGAAAAGATCCTCAATCTTCATAATACATTTCTTGAAGCTTTAATTGACCTCTCTTGGTGTTAATTTTGTATTCACCTAGTTTAATTAAGTTGTTGTTAGCTTTATTGTTGAAATTCTTTTATTCAACTTCTTGTTTGGTCTTTTGTACAGTGTATCCATGACAAAAATAGATACTCAAAAATGATTTGTCTCCAATAATCTTTTACTCTCTATAATCTACATAAAAATTGTTACATGGCTTAAAATCTTGAGAAAGCAAAGTAAATGGTGCTTTCAAATTCTAAGCCATATCATAGATTTGTATTTAAGATAGAATTAAAGGAGTTGGATTTTTTCTACTAGATATAGGCTTTTATTGATTTCGAAGTACAGGTGATGCAATTCCAAATTTTGGATCTAAAGGCACTTTGGTGGTTTGGCACCATGCACCACAAAGGATCTTATAACCATTCGTCACCTTATTTGGGCTAGAATCAAGACAATTAATAGTCCAAGAAGAGAAGCAAGTTTGATTGCTTGAGCTTATAAGCTTTAACCAATCATTTGTTAAGAAGTGTGGCTAGCATGGCTTTAAGATTAATGAAACTCAAATATTTGGCTTATTTCTTATCTATACATAGACCTCAAGCTATTTACATTGTCGTATTACATGTTATCTTGCTCGGGAATGCATCGGGCACCTAGTTGTGGAAGGTGAGATTGTATTTCACAAGTATCCAAAAAATCCTAATAGGTTTCATCCATATGAGAAGAATATAATCTGAATTTCAATTAAAAAGTGCTAAAAACACTCTTTTTAGTAGCCTTAACTACACATAAATCCCAATTACCTTGTTACTTTCATATTTCAGCAATTTAGATTTTTCTTGTAAATCCCAATCCTAATCAATGAGCTTTAACAAGCTGTAATATCCAATCTGACCGTCCACTTGATGTTAAATTTTGCATGAAATTGTCAATGTAAGTCTTCTATATGATCCAATATTTTTAGCCGAATCCAACTTACAAATTGTGAGAAAACCTCCAAAAATTGTACTATTGTTACTCGGCTGCCAACTTGAAAAGTGAAGCAAAAATCCTAGCACTGATTTCTTCCTTTTCAATTGTTAACTTTGATTCAAAATTGTTGTGCACCTTGATCTTCAAGTCCTTCAACACTATTCCAAATTTCACTTTGATCCAACTGATAGATCTCTAAATATCACAAAAACCCTATCCAACTTCAAACTACCAACTTCCAAAATCCTCTTGTGCTATAAACCAGATATCTCTAAACCAAACCATTAGATTATCACAAAATTTTGTATACACTTAGCACATCTAATAATCCAAACAGTTTCAAATTTTCAACCGTAGATGTTATACCAATTGCACAAACTAGCCAAAATTTCTAGCCCTAATTATATTATAAAAAATTCAAATCACCAATATAAATCCTGACTTTGAACAACAATTGCTAAGTCCTCTAAAACCCTCCAAAAACAATCATTATGCCTTTGGAAAGAACTTCAAGCTAACTCTCAAAACTTATTCTCCAATCTTCAAATGAATCCCTATTTTGTCCTAAACCATCATTTTAGTGGCCAGAGGTTTGATTTCGACCCTATCTCACAAACGGTGGACCCTCGGGTATCAATCTAATCTATCCTAAGGTTTTTTTAGTCCAATCCTACTCTCAACTTAATCCTAGTACCAACTATACTAATTATTTTTACCTCTTTTAATCTGATTTTATTAATTTATGATCTTTCTAAGGTAGTAGAAGAGTCTCTACAATCTAGAAGGTAAAATTACTAACTAACCTTCAACCTACTAACTATTAAGATAAAAAATAACCTAAGAGGCTTTTATAAAAGCCACGTTTGGATACCTCAAATTATAATTGAACTAAGATAATTAGATATTAATTAGAAATTCAATTTTGATTATAATTTCACTATATAGTCATATTACATCATGACAACGTCCGTGTTTCATGCTCATGTCTAGCTTACATGTAGTTTTGTAGGAGACTTTTCATATATGCTTGATCACCTTCTTAGAATCAGCTCATAGGCCTATAAAATACTAGAGTATTGAAATCAAAATTTGGTACAATATGAAGCATCTTTCAATCAATGAGAGTTTAATTATGCTCTAATAGTTGAATTTCTCCTTTACTTTGTTAAGTAGAAACTTATCCATGTCAAATGTGGTTAGGGATAGTCCAAACAAGGTGCCTGGTAACTTGATTAAGTTACCTTCCAACCAAATTCAATCATAAATCTGGATTCATGCTGGGGGTGGTTTTCCTGCCAATCTAGTATACTCCAGATTTAGACTAGTTAATGACTAAGCCAAAGGCTTTGCGGAATGTGAACAAGATCTTAACAAGGTTGGCAACTAAATTCCTCTCAGCTTTTATCGTGAAGGAAGTATTTTCTGCAAATTGCAGGATGAGTTGCTGGGCTGTTGATCTTGGTAAGTCTACTCCCTAAATCCATTTGACTTGTTGGACTTGCCTGACTTTGGCGTTGAAGGCCTCTCTCACTATCCGAAACAAATACCTGAGTTTGGCGTTGAAGGCTCCTCTCACTATCAGAAACAAATACCTGACTTTGGCGTTGAAGGCTCCTCTCACTATCAGAAACAAATAGAGCGCTAAGAAGCAACCTTTGCTTACTCCTCAAAGGATAAGAATGAGGGCAGTAGCTTAGCTGTTGACATGAATCATCGCCTCTGCCCCAGTGAAGGTGAGCTGAACCATGCTTATGAATTCCTTAAGATGAATTCCATTTCAGCCATGATGATGAGTAAGAATTTCCAATTCATTTGATTGTATGTCTTAGAGAAGTCTAGTTTGAGGAAGATTGCATTTTGTTTAGACTTTTTTGCTCACGCCAATGTCTCATGTGTAAGAAGTATGTTGTCCAATATGAATCTGTATGGGAAGAAAGCTCTCTAATCGTGATTGTTAATGCCACCTAGGTGATCCTAGAGTTGTCTTTGCAGTGCCTTCGCATATATTTTGTATGCCACATTGAGTAGCATGATGGGTCACCAGTTTCCAGTTTCCACCAGTTTCCAAGAATTGTCGTGTCTCCTCTTTTGTGTAGCAAAGTGATCAGGCCTTTGCTGATGCTATTGGAGAAGGAGCCCCTGGTGAGGGCTGCGTCGACCACATGGGAGTAGTCCTCCCTAAAGATATCCTAGTACTCCACGAAATAATCGATTGCTACGTCATTTGGGCCAAGAGCACAGTCTTTGGCAAGGGCACACGCTGCCTTGCGAAGGAAGAACATCATTAGCGGCGTTACGCTTGCGGGTAAGGCTTCTAAAATCTCACGCTCAACTTGTAGGGAGGTTGCATCTCTATGCTTGGTTTGGTAGAGTGCAGAGAAATAGGCAAGACATTCTCCTTCAATGGTCGGGTTGCCCAAAATCTATTCTTCGTTGTAGCCACGGAGTTCAAGCATGATGGAGCAAGCTGGTTTATCCCTGACGACAGAGAAGAGCTCCCTTGTCATGGAATCACTCGTAGTCTTCCACCGCAGGCAAGCTTGGAGCCATCTTCCTTGCTTAAAATTTTCAATAGCTAGCAAAGCACTGCAAGTTTTATCTTCTTGTATTTGGAAGGCCTCATTTGCAGGGTCACTTTGTAGCCGTTCCTGTGCTCGGATTAGTTCCTCCCAACCCAGTTGTTCTATTTGGCTTTCTGCATCTGCTTTTTGCTTACATTAGCTTTTATACCATTGAAAAGATTTGTGGAGTCAAGTGAAGAAAGTGGAGAGAGCTCGTCTTGGTTTTGCCCAGATTCTGAGCGTCGCTTCTATCACAGCTGGATCGCCCATAAATCACATGTTCATTTTATAACTGTCGTGTTTGCGTCCGTCATTGTGTAGAATAAGATCTATTTGGACTAGCAAGTGATCAGATATAGTACTATTACCTAGAATCAAATAATTGCGTACTACGTCGTGGAGGCCTTAGACGTAGTGGCAGTCGAGCCTCCCCATAATTCTGCACCATCCATGTGGCAATTATCTCAAGAGAATCAAAGTCTGCCTTTGAACTTGAATGGATCAGATAGCTGAAGCTGTACATTTAGTTCTTCCCATGAGAGTTTTTCACCACCGGATATAAAGCGACTACAAAAGGATGACTTGTCTTGAGGCCATTTTACCATGTTAAAGTCCCCGTTTACCTGCCAACGACAATCCAACAGCAGTCTAGTGAGTAGCTCGTTCTACAAGGCTGTCCTCAAGCTGAAGCAATTAGGCGCATAAACGTTAAGGATCCGAAGGTCTCCACCAGGGAGGCCGCTAAATTGAATCTACACGACACAATTCTGCATTACTTGTAACAAGGGGGAGCAGCTTGTTTGCTACGAGCGTGCACACCTATCCCTTGCCAGCTCCTTCCGAGCCATCTATGTTGTAATCTAGAGCGGTTTCAGTGGCTCACTGAAACCGCTCACTGAAACCTCTAAAATATGTTACCTATACTTCAAGCCCCAACCATCCTACTTTGACTCTTCTCCTTGCTTCTTTAATGATCACTTCTGTTCATTTTACTGCCAACACCTTCTTAACAAGTCCTCACAATACCAAACTCACATGCTTAGTTACCACATGCAACAACCCTATCTACTGGCTCCTTGCTCCTAGCCTTTAATAACTAACTTGTGCATTCCACACACACACACTTTGCATTAGTTATCTGCAATCTACAACTTCGACCTAAACTGCTGCAAAAATACACATCCCAAGAACCCATTCCAAGAAGAGTCTCTCCAACTTCCAAAGTAATCTTAGATGGCAAACTCTAGTCATCCCACACACCTGGCTTCTAGTCGTCTGGGACTCAAGTTTTCCCAAACAAGTGTCACAACTTGAAACGCCCTGCTTGAGAATTTTGTGCCCCTGCCCAGCCACTCCTTTTCCACTCCCCAAAGTCATCAACATTCCCAAGACAAATTAAATCCTTTTGACCTGCTGTTGCAGCTTCAAGTACAAGTTCAACCTGGCGATGGAGGTCGTTACATTGCTGAGCACACACGCATAATCCACCGAAACCACAGCTCCAAGCGATCACGCCACCCACCAAGGAGAGCCAAGCACCCGAACGCTCACAGGTGATGCCCAACACAAAATGAAGACGTCGTTCGCAGGGTGGAGGTCACGTAAGGCGTCAGACAGGGCGTGTCTCCTCCTAACGCTCTAACTTTACGTTCACAACATATCCAACTAACCAGCGAAACCACCCAGGCCCTCCAGGATACCTTTCAAGATTGCTCAACAAACAATCCGCCTTCCGATGCTCGCAGGATTCGGCCGTGATTACTTCCACAATAGGTTGAATGCACTTGATTTCCTCAATCTCCAGGACCTCACCGAAAGGTCCCAGTTTGCACAGAGCGGCTCTTACGCACATGGTTCCACGAGGCAAAACTTGCCCGGAACGACAAGTTTGCAAACAATCCGACATATCCAACCTCACGGAGTCCCTCAAGGAAGCCAACCTGACAGAGTCTCTCACAGAACCTAACCCCAGAGAATCCATCCGTACAGAGTCCAAACGCATAGAACAATTCAGATCCTCGGCGTGAGCGATCTCAGCACTGTCCGTGTTCAAGTACCTTTCGAACGACGCTTGAGGATCCTTGAAGGAAAACGCGGGCTCCTTCACAGACTCACCACCCGAATCCCACAATTCCACACCACCCTGCCGAAGTGAACCTTTCAAGGAATCCAGGAAAGACATTGGCGTTCTCACGCTGCACCCGCTATTTGTCGGCCGCACATCCCCTTCCGACACTCGACCGCCCTCGCCACCCTCCCGACCGCTACATACCTCATAGCTCTGTACAAACCGATGCTTCAACATCTCTGCAGCGCTCGGCCTCAACCGAAGCTCCATTTGCAAAAGTTTCAACAGAAAGTCTTTCCCATCCGCAGACAAGTGGTCGGGAATGGGAGGGTGAGACTTGGTAGTTCCTATATGAAACAGCGCTGCTACCTCCTGAAACTGCTGACTCCAGGGAGGCTTGCAAGTCGCCATCTCTATGACGGTGCACCCGACGCTCCACATGTCGGCCTGCCAGTTGTGGCCAGGCTGCCGAATGACCTCGGGAGCCATCCAGTAAGGGGTTCCTTTCATCGATTTAGCTTCGGAGATGGTAGCGAGCTCAACGACTTTCTTAGACGCACCGAAATCAGCAAGCTTGATGCACCCTTTGTTGTCCACCAGAATGTTCCCACCCTTGATGTCCTGGTGCATGATATGGTTATTGTAGAGGTATTCCAATCCCAGGAGCAGCTGCCTAGTATACATCCGCATGACCGTCTCCGTGAAGGAACCGAATTTTCCCAGGAGAGAGGCAATCGATCCTCCAGGAACGAATTCAAGGAAAATGTTCAGAGCTTCCTCCTCCCTCGCAGTCCCCAGATAACGCACAATGCTGGGATGGGACAGATTCTGAAGAAGCTTCACCTCTTCCTCCAGCTCGCGAGTGTGGGACTGAGCCCTACCTTTGGTGGCGTTATTATGTGCAATGCACATCTGCTTCACTGCAATCAGCTCGCCAGAGTCCAGGTTCAAGCCCATGTACACTCGCCCATATGCTCCTGCAAATATCGCAGGGCCCAGCAACGTCAGCAAGGAGGCAGAAGGACATCCTTCTCCGACACACCAACCGAGCCAAAAACCACGTCAATGTCTCAGGGCGTTTCGGTGACACGGATTCGGCCTGCAGGAGCGGCGTTAGGGGAGCTATTATTCCCAGAGAGGGAGATAGCGTTCACAACCACTGCCAAGCTTCGGAGCAACGTCGCCAAATGGCACACAGCCCCAGCGTGCTCCCGTCGTTTGGAGCCTTTAACCACGAAGATTCCCGAAGACAGAAGGCAGCCAGGGTTGCAGAGTCCGTCGCGAGGTCACAAGCCTGTAGCGTGTTTACCCACCCATTGGCAGGTAAAGGGAAGAGTCCACAGGCCTGACATCGCTTTGGACAGGGCAGGCAGCTAAGTGTACCCTGCTCCGATCAACTCCCCTTTCCGCCATCGAATTACCCGCGGGCTGCCGAGGCGACTAACAGCCTGCATGTTGGCCGCTCGCCCAAAGCTTACGCCTCTTATCCTCAGATCCTCGCTTCGTCAACAAGTACACGACCTCATGTTCAACATCCACCCTCGCACTCGCCAAGGTTCATACCGCTTCCAAATGCCGCCCGGCTCCGCAACTACTGCGACAACGCAACGCAACCCAATATAGCCAACCTAAGACCTCCCACCAAGCCCCAGCCGATAGCTTTTACGATGTCTCTTACCAATCAAAGCCCTCCAAAGCCAAATTCACAACGCACATCGGATCCAAGAGCCAGGCAAATCTTCCCGACCGAAACCATCAAAATGCTACCACAGGCTTCATAGCGTAGTGTGGTACTTCCACTCACTACTCTTAAGCACCTCACTCTACATTTCATTTCATCGCACGTCGGCGTCGCTCAGCTCCTCGACATTCAGCCAAGACACGGGAAGCCAGCTCCAATCGGGCAGGTGCGCAGTCCTCTGTGTCTGCTCTGCCAAGGGCCACGCTTAGCAGCATGTCCGACGCTGCATGACCCTGTGTACAACGCCCTCGCCCCTGAGCCAATTCGGAAGAAAACCTACACCAACCTACAAGCTGAGAGCATTTGCCCTCTCTGTCAGTTTGCACTTTCTGATACATTTGATTTTTCTTTCCAAGCTCTAATTCTAATTAGCAAGCTTTAGCAAGCTGTAGCTCCTAATCTAACCATCTATTTGGAGCAAAATTTTGCAACTCAAATGCCACTATATGTCTCTTATGTGCTCAAAAAGAATTCACCCCAATTCAATTTACAAATTGTGAGAAAATTTCCAAAAACCACATTGATGTTACTTGGCCATCAACTTAAAAGTTGATGCAAATGTTCTACTAGTGATTTTTCCTTCTCCAACCATTAACTTCAACTCAAAATTCGTGTGTAGCTTGATCTTCAAGCCTTCTAAAACTATGCCAAATTTCACTTTGATCCAACAAGTAGATCTTCAGATATCATAGAAACTCTATCCAATCCCAAATTATCAACTTTCAATACCTTCTTGTACAAAAACTGAGATATCTTTCAACCGCATTGTTAGATGATTACTTAAGACTTGTTTTGGAACAAGCTCTCCAATCCTATTTGCTGATCTTCAAATGCCTCCCATATTTTGCCTTAGATGGTTGTTTTAGTGGTTGGAGGTCTGATTTTGACCTTGTCTTACAAATGGTTGACCTCCGGATATCAATCTAATCTATCTTTGGGATTTTTTAGCCCAATCCTATCCTTAACTTAACCTTAGTATCAATCATGCTAATTATTTATCACTTTTAACCTGATTTTACCAATTTATGCTCTTTCTAAAAGTCTCTATAGCCTAGAAGGTAAAATTACTAACCAACCTTTAACCTACTAACTATTAAGACAAGAAAATAAACTAATGTTACAAAATGCCAGAAGAATGGATTTTCTTGGTAAATTTAATGCTGTGTAATTAGGACCTTATCATATCAAAGAAGTATTTGAATTTTTTTTTAGAATTAGTTTAGAACTTCTTTGTATTTCTTTTATAGCTTCTTTTAAATTTATTTTTGATTGGTCAAAGTTCAATTAAGATTAATAAGATTTACTTAAGATTATTTTAGATTCTATTAGATTTGGTTGGATTATTCTTTCATTTCTACTTACCTTCCAAAGCTATGTGCCTAGTGCATTTTCAAGCAAGAATACACATTATACAATAATGCCAAGTACATGAAGAACTTGGACATTTTGAAGGCACAAGATACATTTTATGTTGTATAATCAACATTTGTAGAGTTGTATGTATCAACAAGTGGCCACATATGTGTCTCGATGTGAAGTGTGTGATTGAGTTAGATGAAGCTTTAACACCTTATCACCTTAATTGAAGCCATTACTTATGATAGATTTGTGTTATTGTTGGTCTTTGGACTTTGTTGGATTATTTGTTATTATCTCACGTAGAGCCAAATATGTGTTAGTAAGGATAGAATATTTTAGCAAGTAGATTGAACTTGTTACTTTATTACAAAATTCTTCAAAATTGGCAACTATGACTTTTCTTGATTAAGTATTGGCATGTTTTAGAGCACCTATTGAAATCTTAACAGATCAAGAAAGAGAGTTTCTTAAAAAAATTTAAACTTTGATAGGTCATTATACCACATCTAAAAATCATCCTAATATAGATGGCCTAATTAAGCAAGTTATTCAAACTATCAAACATAGATTATAAAAGTATGGATTATTTCATAGCAACCATCATGGTTGGTACTTGATATTGTTATAGATTGTGATAGATTATTGCTTCAATAGACAAGTATCTTTGACATCTTATAGTCCTTATCAATTGTTATATGGATAAGAGCCAATTCTACTAAGCTCAATATGTGAGAATCTAGCTCCAGTTGTAGACCTAGATGATCGTGATGTTTGGACTCAATGTTTATATGATTGGACAAAGTTCTTTGAACAAGCCATGCCTACAGCTATAGAAAACTTATCTATTACTTAATATTGCAACACTTTATGTTATGCTTGCATTTGTAATAGAGCTTATTGATCTTAATTGTAATTTTTTTTTAAAAGAGATTATGTATATTTGCAATATAAGGTACCTATAGTTTAATATTCAGGCAAGAGACATAATTCTATATATAACAAATATTATTTTTAGTGGTATTTTTTTATTAGAAGATAAGAATAGACAAAGGTATTGAGAACATTCAAAAAATTGTGCTCCTTGTCATCTTCCTGTTAATGATTTTATACATCTTAAATTGATAGTTATCCCAAATAGTTTTATTTTTTATTTTATTTTATTTTTTATATGTAATGAAAAGAAAGAGGCTGCTACCATGCTTTTGTGTAATCAATATTAATGTGGATGGCATTTGGCATGTTTCACACCACCTCTTTCAATTATTTTATCAAAGAATTTGATTTGTCCTTGTTGTAAGAAATCTTTTAGTCATATCTCATCTCTAAATAAAGATTAAAGATTTCTTTCATTATTTTTATCATACACTCTAGTGGTCTAGCTGCTATAATACTAATTTAGAAGAGTATATTTTAGCATTTACTTCATTGTATTATTCATCTTTAATGATATGTGTTTTATAGTCTTAGTTAATTTAAGGATCTTCTAATTAGTTAAGAGGGGCATTAAAGAGTGTATTGGATGTGCATTTGTATTTGGTTTAAATTACATACTTTATAATTGGTTTATAGGACTTGATATATTGTGTATAATATGAGTCATCAAATTGACTCATTTATTATTTTAGGATAAAAATATGCATTTAGAATGCTCTAAATCATAATATATAGTAAGTAGTGTAGAAATCCTTAGAAAAATAGAAAATTAGAATATTAGTGGAAGAAATGGAGTCTTAGTAAGTCTTAGAGGTAATTATCTACGTTGGTTTAATATTTTTATTCATTTTTGAATAGTAATAATTATTTTAAAATACCATAGTGAAGTCAAAAATACAAAAAATAATTTTTTCTAGTAAAAAATAGGAAGACCAGCAATTAATCTAGTCCTTGTAGGAAGGAAGGTGTATAAGTCCTATATGGGTTGTAGCACCTTGGGTATAGGTAGGAAGATAAGACTAAGGCCTCAAGGCCTCTTTAGACACCTGATATATACTACATGTGAGTCTTGGTGAGGCTCGAACCCTTGATCTATAAGCAAGTTATCCTTGAAATAAAACATTTTCACTTAATTTCTATTTATTTATTTGTTATTTTTAAACCTTTATAACTTACTCATAGTAATTCGGATTTACATGTTTCTTACATCATTGGAAAGCTTAAAAAATTAACTTCCTAAAAATATACTTTTTACTTTTTACTTTTTACTAGATAAAAACTTCGTGAACAAATTGTGACCAATTTTGGAGTGTATATTTGCTTGTATACATTCCTTTCACTTATTTGTATTGTTTCTTCTTTTGTTCTTGTTCATTGTATCTTCTACTTCACACTACCCATTACAAACAACTCTTAATTGAGGCCATCTTATTATTTGGGTAGAAGGATGAATTTTACACTCACATATACCAATCTTTGTTTATATGATAGGATATAAAGATTATCTTATAGCATTTGCTAGAAAAAAATTAAATGTGGGAAGACAAAATTATAGTACCACGAAAAGAAAATACTTAGCCATGGTTTTTTCTATAAAGAAATTATAACATTACCTTCTATTAAATTTTATGGTATTTTTTGTTGATCATATGGCCATCAAATATTTAATCAATAAGCAAATTCAAGTGGTCATATAACTTGATGGATATTATTATTATAAAAATTTGACTACAAGGTGGAATGCAAAACTAAAAAATTATATGACAAAGCTAATTACCTTTTAAGGTTAGAAGGAGAATTAAATCTTGTTCTTATTGATGACAACTTGGTAGATGATTTTTTTTATTATTATTTCCATCCATTCTACTTGATACAATCATATTATAATATATATATATATATATATATATATAGTTTTCAAAAAAGTTATCTAAATATGTATAATATAAGATTAGAGTTAATAGTATTTATTTTGCTATTATAAAAAAATAATTATATTATCAATGAGTAAATGGTCTACTTA